CCACCGAGCCCGGCAGCAATTTAACTTTTTTTTAAAAAAAGATTAATTTGAATCAACAGTCCTAGGTTGGCTTTGAACTGTGAAGAATAACTGACTAAAGTGATTTGAAAATACCCCTTCTCAAAGTCATAAAAATAATAAACACATTCCTTGTGAAGCAGACTACTTACGATCTTGTGTACTTTACCATGCTGAAGAACAACTCTTTAAAGTGTTTGGAGAAGAATTAAGGGAAGAACCACACATAGTGACTCTCTGCCTATAGACGACCCTCCTCTGAAATCTGTAATTTGTCCATGTGCCTGGCATAGATGATGAAGGAAGGAAATATATTACCTGTGAAACTTTTAAGCAAAATACAACCTTTCAGTATCAAACATACACAGCACCTGACATGAGTATTCAATAAATGCTTGTTGAGTAAATGATCATACTGACAAACTCATCTCCAATTTTCCCAAATGTAAAATGAGAAACTAAATGATCATTAATGTCTCTAGCAATCTCAAGATTCAAATTGTTTTTGCCAAGACAATACAAAAGAATACAAAATGTATTATATCAGTTTATTTTATTTAGTCTTGTCTAATACATAATTGCATTTGCTCTTTAAAAGAAACAAAGTATAAAACTATTAAAAAAAACCCTGAAAATTATACAAATTTTTTTCCAAAGAATGATTTAAAAAACAGACGTTTAGAAAGTGTGATTGAGATATGCCACAAGGAATCATAATAAACTGCAAAAGGCGAAAATTAAACATTGACACAGAAGCCAAAGATGTAAAAGGAAATTATGAATTAGTTTATTTCTGCTGCTGTCAGCAGTACTTCTGTAATGAGATTCATAAATTTTATCATTTTTAACCTGAATAAATTTGTCACATTGCTAAGTGCTATAAGTTAATTCTAAAACTATGGCTTGAGTATTTCACAAACCTTGGGAACACTGTACTTTTTGGCTTTGGTAATGACTACAGATACCACATTATTTTCTTAAAAACTGTGGTAAAATACACAAACATAAAATTTACCATTTAAAAGTATACAATTCAGTGGCATGAGCACATTCATAATATTGTGCAACTATCACCACTATCTTGTTCTAAAATATTTTCATCAATCCAAAAGAAAACCCCATACCCATTAAACAGTCACTCCCCACTGTCACCAGCAACCACTAATCTGATTTGTCTTTATGGATTTGCTTATTCTGGATATTTCATATAAATGAATTCATAAAATATGTAGCCACTTGTGTCTAGCTTCATTCACTTAGCATTTTTTTTCAAAGAATATCATATTCTTTTGCATTTAAGGTAACAATGGCTATTAATGTAAATCATGACAAAAGGAGACATTAGAAACTAAATGGCATCTGAAGTCAGCACAATTGCCTTCAGAATCCAGTTAAAGCGTTCAGTAATGATTAGTATTTAAACAGTGATCATAAACAACACAACATTAACATTTTAAGTGCAGAATAAAAAACTTTAGAATTTATGTCCACCAAATTTTTAACCAAAGCAACTTATTTCATATGTCAGAGGTATTATCACAAAGCTACTGGAATGTTGTATGGAATCAATACCATTCTCTCCTGATTTCAAATCCCTTATTTTATTAAAAAAACAGTAATTTTAAAAAGTCATCAATTGATATAAAAGACCGCCAGTTAACATAATTACTCACTGGACAATTTTACTCTTGAAGAGATGCAGTACCCATTATTATTTTCATTTTTATGATTTATTTTAATCAAAGTGTGGTTAAGCCTGAATACTGACTCAGCAATACTTGTTACTGTTTAAAGAAACAAATAAAAATTTGTTTATTGTCAGGCTGAAAGGGACTTTAAAAGAAGTGGGATAAGTTACTTATATCTAAAATTATTGAACTACTAATTTTAAGGTCACCTCATCAAAAAATTGAAGTCATGGGATAAATAAGCAATCATGACAATATAGAAAAGAGGACTTTAACAAAAAATTTCAGGACAGCAGAGGGCAGGACCCCTTTCTTTCAACTTTTTGAGCAATAAGAAATTATTGCTACCATTCTTTATATCACTAGACCATATAACTACTATTTAATAATAACAATTAATGTTACCCTTTGACTGGAATACAGAAAGCTACCGTCAGTTCCTCTGTCAAAGAATACATATATCAATCTACCTCAGCTCTTGTCTGAGATGGAATTTTAACTATTTATATTAGAAAAAGGTAAAAATTAAACCTGATGAGTTTGCCTTTGTTAGGAAAGAACACTGACCTGATGAATTGGTCTTAAGAGTTCATGTGTTTGAAAGCTGTATTACTTTCAAACACATTAACTATTACCATCACTAGAACTAGCTTGGAATATTCAAGAATCATTTCTTATTACAGTATCTGTATGCAAATGGGTTCATGATTTGGAGATGTTTAAATTTTTATTGGTATTAGTAAAAAAAAAAAATTTCCCTTTTGTCAGTTTGCTTCAGAAATTTTTTCTTCACTGTAAAGAATAAGAAGCTTCAGTCCAGCATATCAAAAAGATTGAAAAATTTTTTTAAAAAGGAGATCTGCATCAACAAATTTCTACTGTACCTCTATAAAGTATCCATGAAACTTCCTTGTAATCCATTTCTTTGTAGTTTCCTCTCCATATAATACAATGAATTATAAAATAATCTGAATACAAAATGTCAGTTTAAAAATGTTCTAAGGTAACAAAGCACCTCAAGATGAATCTCCATTAAGACAGTTCAAGCTGTATTGGTCAATTATGAAGATTATACATGTCAGATAAATATATGTATAAACAATACGTTTATATCATTTTTTTCACAGGTTCAGTAAAATATTTGTAAAAATTCAGCAAAAGATCCTAGTTTTGCAAAGATTTCCAGAACACACCACACTAGTTTCTACTTTGTTTCCTTTTGGTATTGTATCAAAATTCCTTCCAAAACACTTAGCAGGAATCAAATACTTTAGGCAATATTTTCCAAATTTTCTTTTATTTAAATGGCCCTTCTCTTTCTGCATTTGTAAAATGGAAAAGTGATCAATGCCAGAACACATTTCTCTCTCAAGTACCACAGAACACTCATCAGTACCTAAACTTCGAGTACCTCAATTTTCTCATAAAATGAAAATTTGAAATTTAATCTTTTAAATAAAGGAAAATAATTATGTAAAAGACAACTTCAAAAAAAACCATCGTTCCTTTAAAGGACTTCACTAGAGTTGGCCTTTACTCATTCAAACTCTTTTGGTTTTTCTGGAAATCAGATTTGATATATCCTAACAAAATCCATAATTAAATTATCCTATATACATGAAACAATTCACTGATGAGCTAATTTTCTTTAAAGGTATAACTCATGAGTATATTAAGATTACTTAGAGTAGCATTTAGATAACCAAACACCTATCAGAGAAGTTCTTTCCATCAAAAGTCTGCCCAGAGAATGAGGACCAACTGCTATTATATTTCTAAACAACCAACCGTGCAGGTTCTAATCACCTCACTTCCAACGTGGTATGTCATGCATGAAACACATTTTTAAATATCTGAGTAGCTTTTCCTTAGGAAATTTTAAAATGAATAAACCCCATGTGCTTTTAGGTTGAGACGCAAAATATGACAAAATATGTTTTGCTTCTATACACCTAAAACTAGTCAAATCTTCACAGGTAAAATCTGTTATCAATACAGTTATATAAACTACCACAACTTCAAGGGATATGGAAGTTTCGCATAAAACCCCATTATCATCAACATTACTAAGATCCAAATATTCAATGTTAAGGGACAGATATTACTAGCAACAACATTAATGGGATATGCAGCACAGGGCCAAAGAACAAAAACGATTCTACACTACTGATAAACTAGAAACTCAATCTTTAATAATATCATACTGATAGGGTGGAAAGGATCACTAAAAATATTTTTGTAGGATTTAATCCAATATGTCTAATTCTACTGTCTTTGATTATCCTAAAAATCTAGTATGTTCACTTGACTCTGCAACCACTAAACAATAGTAAGAATGAAATGATTAGGCTAAATGTTACCGCTAATAAACTAAAATTTATAATGCAATTTACCCTTAACAGAAGAATACCAGGAAAATACTAGTGAAATGTAAGCTACTACTAAATATTAGTTGAAAAAATACAAGTCCAACAACCATGGTACCCGAGGTATTTTGTCATAGCTATGACTGAAACAATATATATCATTTAATTTAACCATTAATAAGCTACCACTTACACATAATTTTGGATTACACCAATATATACAAACACACATGTATCCACTCCAATAATGCATCGGGGTAGCTGGCATGTCCCAGGCTCTCTTGTAAGTTTTAATACTTTACTGTCATCAGAATCACCTGGAGACCTTGTTAAAACAGATTGCTGGTCCCCACCCTAGAGTTTCAGATTCAATAAGTCTGAAGAGTGGCACAGTAATTTGCATCTCTAACAAATTCCCAAGTGATGCTGATACTGTCAGTTTGGGGATCACACTTTGGGAACGAATGCTGTAAATGGTCTGAGAATTTCAAAAGCTAATGAGAGGAAGAGAAAGATTGACTGATTAAGCTAATAAGCAGTACTGAGGAAGAGGGCAGAGGATAAAAGTGAATTCAAGTATTTCCCTCTATCCTGATGCATGCCCTTTATCTTGCTAGTTAACAAAGACTAAAGAATGACTTCTCAAATGACAATATACTAGGCCAACATACAAACCTTTTTATGTTTAAGAGATTCCCATTACAAGTTTTAGAGATATAATCATGCTACAAACTCTTCAGTCTCTCAGTATACCTAGGTGTGACTACTTTCAAGACAGTGAAAGGGTAGAGAAAGTTAGGGAATGAGTTTTTCACATCTAAAAATAAAAGTAATGTTCACTAGTAAAACATGGGTGAGCAATGATAATAAACAAGTAATTACTACAACATGCAGAAAATCCACATTACAGAAACAGTGTATCTGGAACTGTCAAACAAGTATTAAAATTTTATTTAAATAAAAGTGATTTTTTAAGTTACTGAGCCATATAAAGAGAAAACATTTATTTTATTAGAACTTAAACAAATGTCTCACAAAGAAAACATTTTAACAAAATGGCATGGTGGCATAACAAACAAAACAAAACAAAACAGCAAAAGATGTGTAAAAGAAATATAAAGTGAAAAAAATATTTTATCTCATGATCCAGTGTGAAAATAAGAAGTCTAAATTTAAAAACAAGAAATTTTAAAAAGCATCATTATAAAACAAAAGTTAATGCTTGTGCTATCCTAACCACAGACACATTCTTCAGCAAAACTTTAAAAGGCAGAGTTATATTTTACAGTATTTGATATCTTATTTCTGGCTTTTTCACAGAAATAGAGATTGTTTATGCAACTTAATCTCAGTTAAAAAAGAAGGTTTAAGCACTGAGATATAAGTATTATATGAATTAAAATGACAGGTGAGGCAAAACATCTGATTAGTCTTTAATACTGTATTTTTCAACTAAACTAAGGACTTGATCCAACCAAAACAAGTCTTAAGCAGTTTAGAATTCTTCTCTAATGTCCAAAGAAGGCCTCTGCCTGGCCTTACTGCCATATATGGGAATCAAGAACCTAGTAACCATAGAGCACACTCAGGGACAAATGTTGGAAGAGAAAACACAATAGCGTTTTGACAATTATAACAAAGTAATTTGTCGCTACTTCAGACTACCAAATTTAAGTGTATGTCCATCTTTGCAATTTATTTCTAAATACTGATATATTCATTTTTTCAACTGACCATATAAGGTGAATAGTCTAAATCAATTAGAAAGCTATAATAAAATACTTCAAGAATAAGCCTTTGAGTATTTTTCTATTGTACCTTGATCTTTATGCAAAGATGCAATTCTTACTTTCTTGGTAGAGAAGTCTATGGAAAATTAAACTGGAAACGCTCTGGAGAGATTGTCAACCAAACAGGTTTCTGCATGATTGTCATCTTACAAAGAAGATGCCAAATTTCACATTTTTAAATGTTTTAGAACAACATAGTTGTAATTTTTACAAACATCAAAAGGCAAAAATTTTAAATGCTTATGAAAAGAATAGTTAAACCCTTTGCGGTCTGAATATTTAAAATTTACTCACACAATATGCCAAATTCAAACTTAAAATGAGGTACATTTTCTTTTCAAACATTAAGTACCTAGCAAATATGTTTTACCCATGAAAAGTCTCAAATTAAATTCACAGGCTTGCTTTTTGCTAGTTTATTTTTGCTTTAACCTGTCATATAACACACTGCCATGAGTCTTTGGATATGGCATTTAACAAAAAGAAAGCTGCATATGGTCACTCTGTATAAGAATTGTTAAGTGCATAAGATGAAAAAAATCTCTGTGGGTTATTTTTAAAACATGATAAATAGCATTACCAAACTTTAGTCATGATCTTAAATATTTCAGTATATATTAGAAATCATCTATAAATCAACAATTATATAATGGGAACACTAAAAAATGAAAACTTTATAATGATCTTATGGCAGTGCTTAAGCAATTGAGAATGTTTTTATCCAAAAAACCTATGCTGCAAAATTTTGAATCAAAGTTTTGCTTTTTGATTGCATGGGCTATAACCCACAGAAAATATGAGTAATAAATTGGTCAGGATCTTGTTAGTCTAAGAAGCAAAAAATTTTAAGAACCAAAATATGCACACCATTAAAAATACTATTCTGAAAATAATGTAGATAAATTAAATCACCCTGTCCAGCAAGTTCCAAAAATTTCACACATTTCAAACATTAAGGCAATTTTTTCCAACTAAACAGTACTTTATAAAAATATATGTCACTTCAAAACATTATATACATAGTGACAATAAATTTAGCTAGTTGTAATCTTTAATACATTAATAAAGCATCACATATTACAAAGAAATTATACTAGGTGCTTGCATGTAGGTGCAAGTGAAATTACAGTTTTTAAAGTACTGGTTTTAAAACTGAGCGCAGTGAACGTCCTTCTTTAGTGAGTTCTCGTGTCACACACATACATGGCAATGGGATTGCTTCCTCCTGTTTCTCTACAATATTGTAACTGCATTTCTTCAAGTGGTCAGCCATGCTTAAGATGTCAGCAAATTTCCATTCATTAACAGAACAAAATGCAGTACTGAATCGCCATACCTAGAAGAAAATTCTACTTCAGACTTAAACAAATCAATTTACAGAGAATCAAAACACACTTTTAGCTCTAACTGCAAATATTTAAGCTTTTATAGAAACATCCAATATGAAGTTTCAAAACTAAACTTTCATTTAGCTACAAAATTAAAAAGTTGTAAATCCATTTGGATACAAATCTGTTTGTCAAATATTTGTAAGGCAAATCACTTTTATGACATTATGACTTCGGTAAATTTAAAAACAGCAACAAAAAGATAAAATCACATCCAACCTGGCTTTATTTCCTGAAAATCATAACCTCACAAATTCGGAGGCATTTTCTAAAATAATATATACCGCATACTATGCGGTATATATTCACACTATCCAATTGGCTACATAGAACTATCCACATTCTGGAAGTACTGACAATACCAGTGTTTTTCTCCAGGTTTTTCTTTCATGTCTACTTACATCATATAAAGTGTACTAAAAACATACCCTAGATGTTGTGTGCCACTATTCACAAGTACTACAGGTACTTGGTAATATTCAAGAACATAGGTACTTCAACTTATTCGAGATGTTTCTGGAATTTTTTGTAAAAATAACACTTGTAAATTGGATCCTATTTTGGTCTATATCATTGTAAAATGTATTTCTAGGCAGAATACTCACCTGCCATCCCTGTTCATGTATCTGCTAGTATAAATAGGGGCTATGTCCCCTTTGGCCCAATCAGCAGCTCCAGGCCCTGTATCACTGTCAACGTATTAGTCCAGTAATGACTACTGTGGCCCATCTCATATTTGCATTAGAAAATACAAAGTTACCTGAACATAACAAGAATGAATGTGGAGCAGGACACAGGTACAGAGAACAAGCATGAATGGGACAGGACAGGCCTAGGCATCCTGACTAAGCTCATCAATAGGCACACGTCTAGGTAGAGAACACTGCATACATGGTAAACAGCAGATACTCTAGAAAGCAGGTTTGGGAAAGCCCTCAGCACTCATTACAACTTCTCAGGACTGCATGGTAATGTCTTACCGGGGTGGCTAGATGACTTCAAATTCTGTGGGATCACAATTATTTTTCAGCTGGCAATAGAAATTCCTACTGTTCACACAAAGGATATCCACTATACTCTTCAGAGTTATGATAAACTATCCTGTACAGAGTAATTTCCCAGGAGTCAACGAAGGCCTATGATATTACAGATATCACTAACCCCTCCCCCCTTACCATTCCATTCCCTGAACTCACAAAGCTGCAGGAGGAATTAGGAAGTTTCTTTAAGCTTTGGCAGACAAATCAGTCTTTCACTAAGGCAGCCTCTCCACTTCCATAAAACTAAGAGTCTGGTGAAACAAACTCAGGAAAAGCAGGCAAAAGAATATGGATGACTCCCACTTGCTTATAACAAGTTTTCTTAGTAACAGGTTAATCTTTCATTCAAGTATGCTTCAAATATTTACTTACTGCCTACTATATAGTAGGTGCTATACGAGGCAGTAGATATTCTGGTTCCCAAAGAGTACCACTTCTCAAGGAACTTATAGTCTAATGACCGAAACTGTTAATTCATCAATGAAATTCAAAATATTCAAAATACTATGGTGAGTGCTTCAGTAAAGGTATATAATGGGGCACCACAGGAACAAAGAGCAGTGCACTTCCCGAAAGGCTTCAAGGTGGGGATTACTTCAAGAGGCTTTCTTCAAGAAGTAAGATCTGAAGAGTAAGCAGGGCAGAGCAAGAAGCTAAGATCACAAGCTCAAGAGACAGGCTCCCTAGTTAAGCCCATCAATTAACTGGACCAATTACTTAATCTCTTTTTTTTTTGTCTGCAAAATGGGGACAGTGAATTAAATAAGTTAGTACTAATGCACACTGTTTAGCATATTGCAGGAGTTCAAATGTGGGATAGCATAGTCAAAAGACTTAAGGCAAGAAAAAAGATCAGGGAACTATAAGTAAATCAATGTGATGAGAATATAAAACGACAGGAGGAAACTGAAGAGGTAAATAAAGGTAAGATTATGAAAAATCTTAAATGTCTTACTAAGGAGCTGGCCTCTATCCCAGGGGCAATGGACAAATATTTAAAAAGTTATAAGCACTGCAGCGACAGCGTAAGAATTGGACTTAAGAAAATAAGTATCACTGTAGCTCTTGTGTAGAGAGTAAGTTGGAGAGGGGCCCAATTAGAAGTAGGAATCCAGTTAGGAAGAAGCTGCTGCAGTAATATAGAAAAGAACTACTGTTGAGACTGAACTAGGGAAAAGGCAGTGGCAAAAGAAGAGAACCTGAGCAGTACAAAAAAGGAAAGGAAACAGAATTTCATGATTATTTGAATTTGAAAATAAAAAAGGAAAAAAGCAGTCAACTCTAATTCCCAAACTCCTAATTTAGGCAACCTGTTAGACAATGATGCCACTTCCTAAGATTAGGAGGGGTAGAGGAGTAGAGCAGGTTGGACATATTGAGTTTCAGGAAGCTGTAGGATAATTAAGCAGAAATATCCAGTAGATGCTCCTATATAGTGGTATGAAATTCAGTGGTGAAAATGGCCAAGACAAAGACATGTGAGTAATCTGCATAAATGATGGCAACTTAAACTGAAGAATAGATGAGATTCTCTGCAAAAATGATGAGAGAATCCCCAGAAAATATTGTTTTTCTTTTTGCCAAGGCTCTTTTCATCCAACCCAGAAAATATTTCATTCCATATGTCAATACAAGTGAGCAAAGACAGAAAGAGGCATACTAAAGTGTCCCACACTGAAAGATATCAAATCATCTGGAAAACAGAAATACACACTACACACACGCATACATCAGGTGAAACCTTCTGTCACCAGAATTTCCTTTTGGAAACACATCATAAAATAATTCAGGCCGGGCATGGTGGCTCACGCCTATAATCCTAGCACTTTGGGAGGCCGAGGTGAGAGGACTGCCTGAGCCCACGGGTTCAAGATCAGCCTGGGCAACTTGGCGAAACCACATCTCTACAATAAACCAAAAAATTAGCCAGACGTGGTGGTGTTTGCCTGCAGTTCCAGCTACCTGGAAGGGCGAGGTGGAAGGATCACCTGAGCCCAGCAGGTTGAGGGTGCAGTGGCCATGAGCATGCCATTGCACTCCAGCCTGGGTGATAGAGTGAAACTCTGACACAAAATAAATAAATAAATAAATAATTCATGTGTTCATTTATTGGTCAAAGTCTCAGAAAAACCGAGATGTAGACGTAGAATTTTGAAAAACTGGAACAATGCAAAAAGAGAAAATCTAACAGTGCTAACAACAAAGTAACCATATATGTGAATATTGTGCAATCAAATGAGAAAGTTATCAAAACTGTTTCCACTTGCTGAAATGTAAAGTTTCATATTATAAGTGTTCTAAAATAAAAAACACCTTCAACCAAGGATATCTGTAATGCCTTCTAAGTTTCTACTGGGAAGTGCCTCAAATAGAAGCTGGGCAAAAGTAGAGCATCACAGAAGCAAAATGGTGCAGCCTGGATTTGTCTAGATCTGCCTAAACCTCCAGCTCCAGTTTTCAATACAGTATACATCATTCCTATACCCAGAGCCCATCCACAACATCAAATCCTGCTGCCCTCCTCTATTCCTACTTTGGTCCAAGACATTTCCTTATCCATCCATTTATATTCTCTGTCCCCCAAATACTCCAATAGACATTTATTAGTATGACCATAGCAGTAGTTATAACTTTTTCTTGTCTCTCACTATCTAGGTTCTATTTGAAACAATCAAATCCTAAGAAAGAAACTGCTAAGAATGGAAAGTAACAACTGCAAGCAGGAAAAAAAAACCAGCAAACCCTTTCTCTGCTTCCTCCATTAATTTACAGTAAAAATGTTTCACATGGAGCCCAAATTAGAAGATGATAATATGGACCCAAACAAAGAGGTATTACAGAAAAATTGAGGGGGTACAGAACTGTTCATCTGAAGAAACAAAAGTGGCCTGTCATATTAGATGATAATCTAGTTCTAGGAAAAGTACAGTAAATCTGTAACTAGGACAAACAATCCTAACTATCCTAGCTCATTATTAATTTCATAAAAAAAAAAACTTTGTCATCATATTTATTTAGTAAGTTTTAGGGGATGGTCAATCTCTTAAGATATTCATTGTATTAACTCAACAGCATTATTAAAGGCCTACTTTATGTCAAATAAGAAGTTGATACAGTTAAGTTTAAACTAACCTTTTCTTTTATCTGCCATGATGAATTTCCTTCTGGATACTTCTTTTTCCCCCACTGCAGTATGACCATTCCATGAGACTGAAGCAGACTGCCACATACATCCCTCATTAACCTGGATACACAGGAGAGCTGGCATAAACTGAAGCCATCAAGAAAGCCTGCAATATGCTGCAGTACCTCAAAAGGAAGACTACTTAGATGGTCACTATGTAATCCTAACACACAGTTTCTAGCAGGTTCTACTAATACTGTAGAAACACATGGCTGAACTCCAAATGACCTCAAATGGCGATCATGTATAATCTTCGCTCCTTGTGTTGATGGACAAAATCTACGCTGAGAATAGGTACAACCATAATAAGCTAAAGGACATCTTTGTTCCATCCAGCCATTGAGTCCAGCATGAATGTCACCATGCACGTTCTTAAAATGTGAAGAAAATTCTTTTCTTCTAAATAACTGTCCACACACAAAGGTAAACATTGAACGCTGCTTGGGTTGATACCTGGCAACACATTCCAATACTAAATCCAGCCCAAGTGTCTGAAAAGGACTTGGATTTGAAAGTTGTGGATTGGCATGATCACAAGCTGAAGCTGAAGCTATTTCCCCAACCATTGTATTTGTAGCTAATATTGCAGATGGAAGGGAAAAAGTCTGAGTCCCAAAGTCAATGTGATAAACATCAACCATGCGACTATCAGATATACCCCTCCCACCTGGAGAATCTCCTAGACAAAATAGTAATGCTGCTGTGATTAGATCTATTCCTTGGAGGCCCATAGGATCTTCTGCAACTTCCAAATCTGATGTATCTACTGCTTTATCTTCCTTTGGTTTGGACCAACAGGAATTAGAAAGAAATTTGAAAGAAGGAGCATGACTGAAAGACAAGACATCCACATTCCTCAAGTCCCCTAAATCTACTTTTCTCCAACACAATTCCCCTTCATCCTCATCATCTGGCATGAGTATATGCTGAATTGTACCATTAGGCAAAGCATTGGAAGGCAGTACTTCCCTAAGGTGTGCTGCTACTGAAAGTGCACTGGAAGATTTTGAAGCACCATCTGATGCAACACATTCCCCATTTGTTAAGGTACTTTGTTTAGAATCACCATGCAAATTCTGATTCTGGTCTATGACCTGCGTACATATATTTTCCAAAGGAAAGCCATTACAAAGAGCAGAAGTGCCATAAGAGCTTGTATTCAAGTCACATAATAAATCACTTGAACCATTTTGTTCAGACTGAGCATTCTGGTTTGTATCATTATGGTCAATTCCACCGACTGCTCCCATCTCCTCCTCACAAAGATGGTCTTGGTCTTTTAAGTTTCTATCATGTAAGGTTTCTCTTGCATTTTGCTCTTTCTTCATTTCATTTGGGGATGCACAAACACCTGTATTTAACATGCCAATATCTCTTGTGGCAGTATTCAAGATATCTAAAGCAGCAGCCAAACTTCTGGTTGTTTCTACAGTAGCTTGATAAAGTGCACCATATGATTCTTCATCCACAGACACCAACCCATTAGCATGTGGTATTTCTGGGATACTTGATTTTACTGAGATTTGTTCTCTAGGTTCAGATATTTTCTCAGTTGCCTTTGACATCATGGTGGCTACTTTAAGAGACTCTAAGAGCATCCTTTGATCTTGAAGAGCCAAGGCCATATCTAATTGTGCCACTTCATCAACATCTCTGCTTAGATTTTCATATGACTTCCGGTCTGCATAACTAACTGGCCATCGATTCCATTCCATAGTACAGCACACCACACTTGCAGGACACATTTCTAAATGTTCAGCAACTTTATTTCGGGCCATGGTAAACGGACATCCAAAGTCACTATTTAAACAAGGCACTCGTTCAAATGGACATAAAAGTCGATGCTCATCAGCTTTACAAGAATGGAAAACTGCGCCACAAACCAATGGGCAGCCAATCAAGTCACAGGAAATCCCAGGCTCCGGTCTGGTCATACATCGTCTACTGACACAGTTCACACAGTGTGAATGCTGCAGCTCCTCCTCCATAATGGCCAGTCCAGCTCTAGTTGTTGAAATGGAAAAAAATAAGAAGTTAGACAAAAAGTGGTTGGTTTTTTCATTTTAATAATATAAATCAAATCACTAAAGCTCTTGGCTTCTAATGAATGAAATATATAAATAAACACACTTAACCAGTTAATTTTACTATAATCAATACATCTTAAAAAATTTAAGCACTTTGATCCAAATAACAACTCAGTACTTTAAAATGTCATAAAGGTTCATTTTCATATACTACATAACAATATGACCAAAAAGACAAGTTTCAAAACATATTACTTAAATTATAATACTGGATAGCATATACATTAATGTATATTTTAACTTCTAGATTTCATAGAATGCTTTCACTTTTATCTTTTTTATTTCAACTAAACTAATTTTGATGTAACTTGCATTGCAGCTACCGCATCATATTACTAAAAGCAAAAAACTTGAATTTCATGAATATATTTAATCTAAACTTTATCAGTAGTTTTCTTTTTTATTTCTTCTAAATATATGAATTCATGTAGGATTTCATCATTGATCTCTCCTTCTACATATGCCTTAATAAGTTCTACAACAAATCAACTAAGCCTTAATTAGAAAATACAAGGAATTTACCCAGAAAATAAAAAGTCCTAGCTCAAGCTATGTGGCTGTGGGCAAATTGCTTGCTTTTGAGGGCCACATTCATGCCCTTAACAGCTATTATTATTTAACTGCTATGTACCAGGCACTGTGTTTTGTGTGGCAACATAAAGATTAGTAAGTCATTGTGCCTCCTTTCAAGAAGCTATAGCAGGTCAAAGATGGTAAAAATCATACTACATTATTATGCAATAAAGACAAGAGAAATAAAATGGTAGCAGCAGAGAAGATAATAATCAGTATGAGAAAGAGAAGAATTCACAGTAGTCTGGAAAGAGAAGGCATCTTAAGTACGTGAGGTTAGGCTGGGCACAGTGGTTCAAGTATGTAATCCCAGCACTTTGGGAGGCCGAGGCGAGAGGATTGCCTGAGCCCAAGGGTTTGAGACCAGCCTGGGCAATCTGGCAAGACCTCGTCTCTACAATAAATCAAAAATTAGCTGGGCGTGGTGGTACACACCTGTTTAGTTCTAGCTACTTAGAAGGCTGAAGTGGAAGGATTGCCTGAGCCCAGCAGGTGGAGGCTGCGGTGGCCGTGAGTATGCCACTGCACTCCAGTCTGGGTGACAGAGTGAAACTCCAACTAAAAAAAAAAAAAAAAAAGTGAGAATATGCTGGTAAGGAAGGGAGGCATTCAGTGCTGAAGTCATAGCATACACAAATACAGAAAAGCATGAATTGGCAAAACACAGTCAGGGAAGCTCAAGTGTCCTAGTATTGTTGGAAAACAAGGCAAAATGCAATATGAGGTCAGATAGGAATGAGACAAATCATGATGAGTGCTATATGCTCCTCTAAAAGAGAGTTCAGACTGAGTAAATGCAAGTCATTGAGAATTTTAAACAGACAAATAGTATCTACAAAATAATATGAATGACTTACAGATATCTAATGATCTTTTCTGCTTTAAAAACCTCCATTATAACTTTTTTTTTTTGAGTTGGAGTCTCACTCTGTCGCCCAGACTAGAGTACAGTGGCCGCTCCCGGCCACCGCAGCCTCGACCTGCTGGGCTACAGCAATCCTTCCGCCTCAGCCTTCCGAGTAGCCAGAATTACAGGCGCGTGCTACCACGCCCAGCTAATTTTTGGATTTATTGTAGAGATGAGGTCTTGCCTGCCCAGGCGGGTCTCGAACCCGCGGGCTCAGGCAATCCACTCACCTCAGCCTCCCAAAGGCACGGGATTACAGGCTGAGCCACCGAGCCCAGCCATTATAACTTTTATGAAGAAAAGTTTTATATCAAAAGTATAAGCATAAGATACTAAGTTAATTATAATGAATGAGCCTATTAGATGTAAGATATATATCTTCAACTTCTCTATTGATTTATTTCCTATTAGCAATAAAAATTTACAAGACTATTTAATCTTTTAAAACTAAAATAGTATCCCCCTTTTGCTCTTTTGTCACCATTCTTTTTTCTTATTTCAGTCAAGTTGCCAAAAACTAAGGAAAAAAAAAAAAAACTTCTGATCTCTCACATGTTCTTCACCTCTCTGATTACTCTATTTTTACTATCCTTGTTAAAGCTTTTCGACCATGGAGATTCTCAATACTAAATCCAGAGGGCATTTTGTTTTCAGACCCCATCTTCCTTGGCCACTTTATTATTACAATAACTAATCCCTTCTTTATGGACTATTATATTCCCTTACTTTTCATGGTGTCACACATTTCCAGATTTCTCCCTTAACTTTCTGATTATCTCATAGTTTCTTCTTCAGGCTTCCATGTCATTTCTTGATCATTCTACACATTCTCCTGGCTGCTCTCACTTTCTCCAAAAGTTTCAATTACCATCCATATGCTGAAAATCCATTCTACTCGGGTCCCTCTTCCTAACTCCAGACCTCTACAACTAATTACATATGAAATATTTCTACTTGTATATGGCACAGGCAACTCAGCTTAACATTTCTCTAATTAAATTACATTGTAGTAGACAATAATTTCCTGGATAAGAAGTTGATTCTTATCCTATTTTCATCATCTCAGGGCATAAAAGATTGTTAGCTCTCTGACATATTTTTCCATAAATTCTACCTTGGTTCCAGGTAGCTAATTAATTACTTCCCAAATTGCTGCATTTTCTCCTCCAGTTGAGGTTTGATTTTCCTCAAACTAAAATAAAAAGGGCTACCTAAATCATCGTCAATAGAGCTTTTCTTGATTAAGTAGAAAAGTTCTGAGATGATATTATGGTGTTCAATTATGCCATGGGGGAAAAAAAAGATACACATTCAACACCAAAACTGTATTTTTGAATTGTGTTTAAAAATTACAAACTATGAGTTAAATACTATAAAAAGTTTATCTTCATAAATTTTATAGGTAAGTACAGAACTTACAAACAGACATGCTAGAAGACTAATACAGAAATTACAAGCAGACATGCTAGAAGACTAATAATAGAACTAAAACATTAATGACAAACATTTGTAAATCAAGCAGACATTCAAAGAGACACTAATCAAGAATTAAGATAAATCTTACTGAGTGACTGGACTGTGAAAACAGCGTAGCTTTCTTATTTTGCAACACTAGACTGAGTTCATTTCACATGCTAAAGGCTAGAAGCTTGACTATTACTAAGGGAGAAACCTAAAAATACAAAGGGTTTCAACAGAAGTAACCAGTGTTGTCAGAACTTTTAGGAACACTTTATGTTACTGTACACACCATCACATGACAACACCAGGCGGAACCCATCTTAAAAACATTACTTAGTTCAAAAGTGCTTAAAATAGCAACATAAAAACAGCAATAAGTTTCAAAGGTAGAAGCAAAGTGGTCAAGTTTCCAAATAACCTCTTTCATACTATTCCCCTCTGAAAAAGAAGGTTAAAAAAAAAAAAGCATCCATAGCAACAAGTTCACAATATGTATTACTTATTGAAGTAGACTTAGAAAGAAGGAAAAGAGAACGCTAATTATGTACTTATTTCATCCTTTACATATATCACATCACTTAGTACTCACAACAATCTGAAGGAAAATTGAAGTTCAGAAAGAGTAAGTGATTTGCCCAAGGTCATCTACCCAGTAAGTGCCAGAGCTAGGACATAAATCTGTATCTGATCAACACACATGGACAATAACAGATATGTTTACTTATAAAAGCTGAAGAAAATAGGACAGTATTTCAGTAACTGGTGATCCAATTTTAAGATGTTATCTGAGGAATGGAGATTACACAACTTTGCTTGTAGTTTATTCCAACACTTAATCACCCCTGTGGTCAAGAAAGTCTTTTTGGTCCCTTCTAATTATAATAGCACATTACTTTGCTTTGAACATACATATTTCGTTATTTAAAAAATAATTCACATTGATAATGCCCAGCATAAGTGTATGGAACAACATTGTGAATTTAACAATTCTCAAAATAATTACAGAAAGGAGAAATCAAATTCGATCCCATCTTGCAGGTATTTATTAAAAAATAAATTAAGAAAATACAACTGTCAATACCCAAAGAGTATTCTGGGAACAGAATCCTCAGTTTCAGAAATTACAACTCTCAAATCCAACCTCCTTCTAATCAAGATCACTTAAATATGCCTTTATAAAGTATTTTGCAATTACTTACAAATCTTGTGAAACAAGTTTAAAAACATCAATCCCTGATTTATCAGTTGAACAGTGACACAGCAGACCTAAGAGAAAACATGTTGCTAAAACTGAGGCTTCAAGAACAAGATGAGCTTAATTTAAAACTCCTCATTGTTAAATTTATTCTAAACTCCTTTGAATCAGAATCCCAACATGCAAAATAATACCTCTATTAATCTATACTTGAATTTAAATTACTAGAAAAAGTTTCATTAGACTAGAAAACATCTGTAAATAATAATGCTTTCAGTAGTTTCAATTTTCTCTGAGATGCTGTTTGACAACTCATTCTATGGTTGACAAACAATCCACAAAAATAGTTTTAAGACATGGCATTTTCTCATACAATGAAATGAGATCTTGCCATTAAAGAAATAAAGATACTGCCCTCAAAAAATATTTATTTTTTCAAATCATTAAAATAAGTAAGGAGATAAGTAAATAATCACAAATTAGCATGATTTAAAAATAAGGTAAGAAAAGTCACCTAAAATACTCAGAACAGTGACTGTTCCTAATGTCTGTCTCTGCCTCAAGACAGACACATACTGTTCTCTCCCCACATACTCTGCTGTCTCAACTCTAGAAGTTTCAGCTTAAACATTACTTTTCCACATAACCCAAATACAATGTATGGAACCTATATTATAGTGACAATTCTAACTATATAAGCATTCTGTTTAATATATTCTTCCACAAAAGTCAGAGCCATCTCTGTCTTATTCCTTATTTCCCTATATTCAAAACTT